AGAATATCTCTTTGGGTTTGAGACTTTAGTCTTTGCAACTTTAGGGATCTTATCTATGCATGAACAGCTTGTAACACTCCAAAGAGAAAGGAAAATTTGAAATTGCATCATATGACCCCTTTAAAAAATATTATGTTTTAATGTGTGTATTATAGTTTTTTAAATCAATTTAATTCAACTTTTAATTTAGTATAATTTAAAATGTTACATATTTAATTTTTATATTATGTATATATATTATTGTAATTTTTTTACTTTTAAAAATATTTAAAAATGTTTTTAATATAAATAATTTTATAATATATTTTATAAAATAATTTTTTTATATAAATAAAAAGTACAGTGTTAGCGTACTGATGGGTACTATTACAACAGGACAGGGAATAAAATTGCTCTACAAAGATACCTGATAAAAGCAATCTATTATTATTATTATTATTTTTTTAATTGTTACTGTTATTGAACTGTGAAAAGATGATCAATGCACAATTACCATAGACATAAGACATTTTCAAGGGAAAAGTAATGCCACATTTCTATTATTAAATTGCATTTTATAAATTGATATTATATATTAAGAAAGGATGCCTCACTGAGAGAAACAGGATCCTCTTCAAGAGGAGATCATTTACATAATATGTTCTCATCATGGACGTGTATTGCTGTACTCATGCAGGAAGGCACTTGCCTGGGAGTGGGCCGATAGATTCCTGGAATCCATTTAAGAGCTGGATTAATGTGTCCTAGGAGAGACCGGTTCTGTGCGCCAGGTATATTAATGCAACATTAACCATAAACCTAACAGAACATGTTCCCAAATTGCGTTTATGTTGTCACATGGGGACAAACTAGGTGACATTTAATAACTAAATTGAAGAGGTTTGTTTTAAGTCCCTTAACACTGTGATGTGTCTAATAGATAGGAACACGCCCAGACAGCGGGCCGGAGCTCGTATTAGTGTATTTGACCTAATCAGGATCAAGCAGAGAAAGTGCCCTCCAGGACTTACACCAGATATACTTAATGTCTGCAGTCTCTTAAGTAACAGGATGTAGAATGTCTCAGAGGTAGCACTTGTGGAGATAAAGCAAATTTGTATGACATTTACATTTGGAATATTGTGACTGTGTTGTAATGACCTTTCTCCCAAAGCTGCTAACTCTTTGTTTACATAATCAATAGATTTTCAGGAAATGTTAACCATGTGGGAACAGGACAGGAAACCGCTGTGTCAAGGTGTTTATGTCACCACCTCCAACACAATATCTAACCAAGCAGTCTCCAATCAGATCTGAACGCATTAACTTCACTAGGTATTTCCTACTTTTACTAAAACTCTATTAGGTGACCTCTAAAATTATAGCTTCCGGAGTTCAGTTAATCATTTTTTTAAAAGTATGTATATATATATTAATTTGTTCAATTAATTTTAAGTAAAATGATCTGCCGGACTTGATCCCAGAGTTAGTGGTGTGGGAATGTGGAATGAAATGAGACGCTGCCCTTATAACAGTGGAACTGTGGCAGTTGGACTGTAGTCATGTGGGAAAAGACCCACTCTTGAAACCCTCAGTTATGATCTATATGATAAAATGCATGCACTTATTAGTATTTGTTTGACCTGACTGTGCAGTACAAGAATCATGAATGGAATGGCATTTAAAGTCTTGAGTTGCTGCACATGAGGAACCAACATTTTTTTTGGGTTACACACACGCAAGCATTTAAGTTTACTTGCTGTGATTATTTACTAAGGATACAGTGAAGTTATTTATGATGGTTTTGGGTTTCTGAAACCCATGTCTACAATAATGCTAAGTAATAATACCAATTATCCTCCTCCTGAATTCCATACAACACAATGTTGCTTGTTTTTCCTCCATTTGGCCTATTTTTGTAGCCAAAAACAAAGGATGGCAAGGTCTAAAATTCTGATTGTAGAATAAAAGCCTGTATTTTTCTATGGTTTTCTCTCAGTCAGTGGCAGGAATTTGCATTTTTGTTCAAAAATCCCTCTAGATTCAGCAAGCCACCAATTAAGGTTTCCGTCCACAAAATGAGCAATAGCCAAATGGCAGTCAGCTTTAAATTTCACCAGAAACCTCAGGAATCATTTTTATAGAAAACTAAATGCAGCATTTTTCCTTACTGAGTTTTTCACCTGACTCCTGTCATCAGTTCCGTGTAACTTGAATTCATTCTGATTAATTCTAGTTATTAATACCATTGTAGAAATTGGCATTGAGCCATGTTAAATAATTCCACAAATATCCGATAATAGGGAGAAATAAAGGGGACATTCGCTAGTCATGTGACCTCAACATGGCAGCCACCAGAAGCAGACCCTCATGTAAACTAAAACAGCTTTTATAAAGCTACAGATACGGCTTCATATGTGAATGTACATCTTTTTAAATATATTTTTATTGTAAAACCCTTTTAATGAGGAAAAATTACTGAGTGTGGCTTTAACAAGACAGAAAATAATGTGGACATTAATATAGACCTACTAAAAAGCATTTGGTCACAGCTTGAGTTATGTCTCAAAAACAAGAGTAAAACAGCGTCTTTGGAAATTTTAAAGACATTACGCACGAGTCTGAATTGTATCAAAGTGAAGTAAGATTTAATAGGAGTCTGAAAACAGTTATCCAGTCCTTCTTACAGAGGTGCTCAGTCATTTGCTCTTTAGAAGAGTCGTGAAACGCCAGTCGGAGAGAGATCGCGTCATTGGACAGTGTGCTTTACACCCGTCTGACTCAAGAGCATGGCATTGGTGTGCAGGCCTGACATTCATGATCGGTCATAAGTGGGCGTTCCTTCTGTTCTTTGACGTTAGTGTTTGATTGGTCAGCTGTTGCTCTTGGCGTCACTGCGCTGCCAGCTGATCGGGAGGAGAGAAGCCGGTATGAGGGGAGTTGAAGCGGAGACTCAAGACGCAGCGATATGTGGGCTAGATTGTGAAATTTAGGACGTAAGACTAATGGTGTCGTGTTGAAGTTGAGTGATTATATTGTTAATGATTTCTGTAACACTCTGTTGAGTTGTCTTGAGCAGGTTAGGATTAGATATTTTAGCTGAGTCGCGCTTTAGCTCTTTGATGTCAGGAGTGATTTGAGGTTAAGGTGTGGCTTTCAGCAAAAGGACGAATTACCTCAATTGTAGCAGAGCTTATATTAAATTCTTCGATATTTAGAGTAGTGCAATACATTAAAAGTGAGCAAGAAATGGGATCGGGACATGACCCAGGTCAGAATCGAACTTGAGTTTCCAATGAGCCAACCACTTTTAAATGTCGTATGTGCGCTGCCTTGTGCGCCAGAACTGCGACTGAATTGAATCGTAAGGCTTTTAACGGTTTTCGCGAGGATTTGATACGCGTGCGTTAAATCCAGGAAGCGTTCGGTTACACAACGGAGTCGAATCGTTCGATGACCGTTGCAACATTAGTTCTAACTTTTCGGAAGTGTGTGAACCCACTTCAGAACGAATGGAATCTGTTACATTCCATTGAAATAGATCGCTAGAGCGCTCGGTTCAGAGTTGAGCCGTACAGGGCGTGAGCCGTCCGCTAGTAGACAGTAGTATGTAGGCAGTATGAGGAAAAAAGCCATTGCAAAAATAAAGGATGTTACGCCAATTTTATGTGGTATCTGGGAGTCGAACCGCTTACCAGCGTGACATACGAATCGATCGACGAGAGAAATCGAGAATTCTACCAGTGAAGTAACGTAAGTAGGCGTTGGACATTCCTCATTCAGAAGTTTTCGCTCAAAGGTGTTTGTCGAAAAACATAATATCGCACCAATATCGAGTTGACGCTATTTGTTAAGTCCAGTAAATTTAAATATGTCCGACTGAAGCGCTGAGAATTAACACTGTATTAACACGGGCTACTGATATAACATTGGGCGTTACACTGCTTTCATTTACAGTATATGAAACTTATATCGCCTGACGTATTTTTTTCTAGTTTGCTTGCTTGTTTTTCTTAGTTGCATTAGCCTATATTTATGCTCATTTTTAACTTTCGTAAGACGACAAGGAATAGGCCTTAAAGGGATAATTAACCTAAAATGAATATTTAGTCATCATTTACCCACCTTCATGATGTTTTAAACCTACATGGCTTGTATAGAAAGCGATATTACACAGCTGTAGTCCCCATTCACTTTCACTAAATATAAAAAAAGATCCAATCAAAGTGAATGGTGACTGGCCCTCCTATTCCGCCTCACATTTTCTTGTTTTTACAGAAGATAGAAAGTTATACAGGTTTGTAAAAACACGAGTGTTAGTAAAGGACAGATTTTTTTTTTTGAGTGAACTGTCACTTTAAGATAAAGCCTAATACACGGAGATTTGTAGTCTAGGTCTGTTTAAAATACGAATAACAGGAGCAACAGGAGATTGTGCTATACAACAGATGGCCAAGATCAAAAATTTTAATTTGGGTAGTTGGATGTAAAACATGGATTTGGCCATGACACAACGCGTATACATCGTCACTGATTCCTATGAGGCGAGAGCATGGCAAATTCCTCAAGACCCCACCCTGTATGGTGCGATACTATACGAGTTTGCCTCTTTTTTTCCTTTAGGTTACTTGTTTCCTTTTTGTATGTGTGTGTGTCTGCTTTATCTCACTTTTCTCTTTTCACACACAGCCTAACATCTGGAGTGAAGACCTCCGTTTCATACCAATATCAACAGTATGTCATTAAATGGATTTCTTCTTACGTCTGAATGACGTCTGACTGCTGAAGGTAAGTTATGAAATATGAATGTTAGAGCTGACTTTTACCGGTGGTGAGGGTGATGTGTCAGAACTGATATCAGATATCATTTGTAATAAAATTGTAGAAGCTGAAAAGATGATATTTGATAAAATGTAAAGAACTGTTCAGAGGTTGAGAAAAGTTTTTGTGAAATGTCATTCTGGTCATTAAATATCAAATGAAAAAGCAAACAAGGTATTTTCCAAATCAGTTCCATCATATCACCAGATGTCTTTTGCCATTTAATTTGTGGATGGGATTAAGCAATCAAGTGTTGACAAACATCCCTAACTCATGTTTATGCAACCGTTTTAATGGATTTCCTTGCTCCAGTAATTGTTCCAAGTAAGAAAAATTTTAAGCCATGACGTACCATATCGTTACCTATCAGCCTTACCAGAATTAAGCTAATGACTGAGGTTATGACCTGTTAAAACCAGATTTTCCTTTATTAGTTACTTTAATCTACACCTTATTATTACCTGATTTAGCTTTTTAATGTTAGTTTAAGAATATCTTTTTCCTTGATTTTATATTTCTTATGAACTGAGAGCTGATTATGAAATCTTATTGATTTACAATAAGACAAGCAAAAAATTGTCACCTGACTGAATATGATATGCATATTTGTGTCAGGTTTCTAATAAATTAGATTAAATGCACTGAAACTACATAAAAAAATTGAGTTAGGCTTTCTTATTTTTTTTTATAAATCTGTATTTTATCATTAACTTAAAAATGAATTATTCAGAATGAATGTTTCTATTCAAATTTCAGAAGTGTAGGTGGTCATATGTTCTGTCTACGCACCTTATTTAGGGTAGATATAGATATTAGGGTAGGTGCCATATTTAATATTTCCTGAGTGAAAACGAAGACTATACGGAGGTCCGTTTAATGCGTTGTTCTGTAGCTCAGTCTTGATCATTCAGCTGATGCAACATTGTTTGTCTCTTGACAAACTGTGGAAAATGTGTTATGAACTTGACGTACGACCTTAAAACAGAACAGCCTATACATTTTTCTCTTGCAGCCTTGTTTTCATTTGTGAAAAATTAAATGGTGTCTACCCTGAATAAAGTCAATATGTCTGAATAAATTAAGGGCTGTAAAATGACGTACATGTCATTTGTGTACACTTTTAAATAAGCAAGTTCAGATTGAAGTAGCTCATTAAAGAAGCAGCACAGTGCAGTTTATGGAAAAAGGAACATCTGTTCTCCTGCCCAGGGTAATCACTATCCGTAGAAAGGTTGGACATCTCAGATCTATGTGTACAGGTCTAATTTTCTTGCAGTCTTTTCAAAGCTATGAATTCAGTAAGAGCAACTCTTATTTCCTGATTCATGTGTCTGTGCAGCTAAAGGCGGGAATGCGGGAGGTTTTTTGCTGGGAAATGTTTGTTTTGTGAACCCATTGTCTGGTCTTGCACTTGCGTTCGCTGCTAAATGAGTTTATTCTTCATTCAAGCATGGCTGGAAAGATAACGAAATATAACAGAGGAGTTTGAAACTCACTGGACAGTCCGTGCACTGAATGGAGAAATCACTAAGGAGGATGTGTGATTGCTATTCAAGGTATCTGCTGTTCAAATGCTTCCTCTGTTTAGTTTTTGACATTAATTGGCTTTACTGTGAGGCCTTTGTAAAACGTTGAACTTTTCTGAGTTCATATTTTTGCTTCCTGTTTAACGTTGGCCCTCATGAAATTTCATGAATAGATCTGTGTGGACGAACAAACCATAGCATGGAACTCCGACAACTGCATTCGTGGGCATACGAGGAGAAATGTCATATCACGGAGAGTTTTGGAACCACACCCTTAGCGTTACACATTTTCACTGTTCTGCAGGCCTCTTTGACATTTAGATTTTTTTACACTCTCATTTGTGGAGATTTGAGAGTTTTTAAGTGGTTTTTCTGGAGTCTTGGCATACATTCCACCATTGCCTCTGTAATTGGTGCGGTATCGTGCCGCACAGACTGTGAGTGGGGTTTTTTTGCAGATGAAGATCGGTTGTGACAGTGATTTGCCTGTTTGGCAGGTGGCTGTAGTTGTCTTGAGTGTGGGAGGGGAGGATCTCAGAAGAAGGTCTGCTGTTGTCTCAAGGACAGCGGAGCTTCCCGTCTGTGCAGCCCCGCAGTCCTGTGGGACCAAATGCTGGACGCTCAGGCGGTTTATGCCACGAGGTTTCAGGAAGTGAGCCTGCAGAGCTTCTGTCCACATTTTCATCCAGAGTAACGTTACGCAGTTAGATTCCTTGCAATACCTTTTCGCTACGATGATTCGGCACTGTCAGAGACTTGTAGACTTCTAGAGTGAGTTTGATTCTGCTGTCTACCCTGAGGGACCTGTATAATCTCCCTTTGATTAAATGGGCTGCAGGCTTTGTGCTCTACACCGCCATGTAAGTGACCCAGTTTGGGGTTTTGTGCTATTGTTCTTCATTGAATTTCTGTCCTCGACATACAAGGCGGCGCACACATACGATGCCCCGAACTCTAAATAATGAGCTCATTCATTCTATACAGGGAAAAACGGGTTTGTTTAAAACCTGTTGACTTCACTTGTGGGCTATTTCTCTGTCTCTTTCTCTCTTTTAAGGCAGACAAGCTAGTTCACCTCAGCAGTACAGAGTGTGAGCTGGCCCAGCTCTGTGGGAGGGTGGAGTCAGTCCAGAACATCTCAGACAGCATGGAGGGCCTCTGCAGACAGAATGGAATTTATACCATATGTACCAGGCATCCCAAGAATGCATGGCACAGACACTTGACCAATGGAAAGAACTGCAAAAAGCACAATGGAAAGGGTGAGAGACGGCGGGAGGGCATGCTGCGGGAATGAACCTGTTGAATATAATTCCATCAGTGTTTCCTAAGGAAATAATTAGTCCTTAGGTAAGCACTAGACGGACTATAGGTTTCACACATATATATATTTTAGCTATTTAACTGAAATATAAAACATATTAACTTTGTAATATATAGCTCTGAAGTTTGGGGTCAGTAAGTTTTTTTTAATTTTTTTTAATTTTGAAAGAAATTAATACTTAATATAGCAAGGATGCATTAAATTGACCACACGTGACCGTAAAGACATTTATAATGTTACGAAACAAATGTTTGCTCAAAAATATTAACCAGCTGTAAGTAATGTTTCTGGAGCTACAAATCAGCATATTAGATTAATTTCTGAATGACCACTGAAGACTATAATTATGACTGCTGAAAATGAAGCTTTGCCATCACAGGAATAAATTACATTTCAAAATATATTATTGAAATGGTAATATTTCAGTGTCATTGTTTTTACTGTATGTTTGATCAAATGTGTGCAGCCTTGGTGAGCATAACGAGATTTTTCATAAACATCTCACTAACCCCAAACTATTAAATGGTAATGTGTGTATATATCTATATAGCTTTGTGTCATTTTCAGTCGCATTACTACATACTCTCGGCAAATCAGTTGCACTCAGTCAGTAAGTAATTTTGGCTGAGTCATTCGCCATGTTGCGGAATCATCCTAGTGTAGATTTTTCATTGTTTTACATGAATTGAACTGAGACATTCTCATTAAGTCTGATTTACCCATGGCACAGTATTAAAAGCATGATTCAGTCAAATCAAAGCTTTTGCTTCCTTTGCTGTGCTGGGAGAGGCAGCTGCCGCTCTGATCGCCGCTAACATTGCGAGCTATGATTCAGACTTCGGCGGGTGGGGTGGGGTAGAACAGGCGATGCTTTGTCATTACAACAACCAACATTATGAAAGAAGCTTCATTTGAGTTACTGCTTATTCATGGTTTACCAGCTTGCTAAAGCTATGTACTCATGCGCACACGCTTACAAGCAGCAGGGCTGTAGCGCTCCTTAAACAATTATATATCTCACTCTTTTTTTTTTTTTTTCTTTTCTTTTTTAACTGAACCTGATTCATCAAGTTCACAGAACAGGGTTTAAATGGGTCTTAGGCTGTGCCATAAGCTGTGTTTCACAAAATAACGAGAAGAAGCTGAAGCCTTGTTTTTAATTCTGGACAGATGTTCTGCATTCTTCAGTGCTGCAATTTGCATTTCAGAAAAATGAGCTAAAGAAAGCACAATTACCTCCAAGTTCCAAACTTTCCTATTTTTTTTCAAGGCAGTACCCTGCAGCATGTGGCAGTCATTGCAGTTCACATGCCTGCGATTTTCGTGTTGTAGAAGTATGCTCCATTCATGCCGGCCAGTTGTGACCCCCCCCCCCC